GTAGTCGTAGGTTGTGGTCGTAAGTTGTGGTCGCAAGTAGTGGTCGTAAGTGGTGGTCGTAAGTAGTGGTCGTAAGTGGTGGTCGCAATTGGTGGTCGTAAGTAGTGGTCGTAAGTGGTGGTCGTAAGTTGAGATCCTAAATGTTGGTCGTAAGTGGTAGTCGTAAGACAGTAATAGTAATAAGTGAACATACGACGTTGGTTATCGACGATATCAAGTAAACAATGTTGGTTGATTTTAAGTCACGTTCAGGCTTGTTGTGTTATTTAATGGCGAATTTCTGTATGGGCCACTCAGTAGTAAATCTACAGCCAAAGTAGTTTCGTTAAACATTACCCTACGGCGAGGAGCGTTTTCTCAAACGTTTCTACCTGCCGACATTAATTTGATACCTTACCGAACAGAATGACGTTTCCTTCAGCTAGATCATCACGCTCATCAGTCTCATGACCGGGTGTGACCGTAAGATCGCTGCTCAGCTGAGAATCTCACCAGTTAAGGCCTAGGTTGAAAATCGAAAAGCGCGTCTTTGGGTAAGTAAACCCGTTTGAAGGCTATCCATCGTCAGCTCAAACCGCAGCTGATATCCTCCAATTTGAATGCTTGTCTTGGTCACGGAAGCAATTCTGAAATTTTTCAGAGTATATTTTGAAAATACAATACATATAAAGAAAGTAAGGGCGACATAGACAGAGATATAGACAGATGTTGATTTGTCACGTCTTTTAGTAAATCAACATCGCACTCGGTGTGAATTCTGGGGTTTGATGTGCGAGACCAAGAATTAGATTAATAGCTTTTACTAATTTATAAAACTTCTTCCCTTTAAGACAAATACCTTCCACCCTCCCCTGATCACTCTCTCGTGCCTTTCGTCTCACTGAAACATTGAAATGGATAAATTCTGTATTAGATTTTCAACTGTTTTTCACAGTTACATTTCTATTTACATTTCTATTTCTGACACGAACTTAGTCCACTCCGGATTTGATGAGACAGACAACCGGTGTATTCGTTTGCCGAAATAGACTATTCCCCATATGAGGTGATTTTGAATTTTATTGTTTATTAATTATTTGCTCTGTTTGGGATAAGTTTTAATATTTTATATTATTAGGATCCACTTTCATTATATACCAATGGATTTGTTACCTTTACTATATATATATATATATATATATATATATATATATATATATATATATATATATATATATATATACATACTTTACTAAGCATAGCTAAGAAATGGCTCAAAGCCGAAAGTTGGGAACACACAGTAGGGATCGAACTGACTACTCAGTCGTAATTGATCTAGAAAAACAGCTTGTTAACTATTACATCACGTCGAAGGGGCCAAAAAGAGATTTATTAAGCGCATCTTAGATGTTTCACAGGGTCGAGATTAAGGAACACCCTGTGAGGATTGAACTCAATACGCAGCCGTAACAGATTGAAGGTGTCAAGCTTGCTAACCATTACACTGTACTAAAGTGTACCGATTTACGAAGCTTCGCTTAGATGTGGTACAAGGCAGAAAGGAGCACTCAGCATTCAGTCGTAAGTGAGCTACGATGATAACCATTGCACCACATCGAAGTGGCCCAGCATATGTACTTATTAGGTTATATCATATTATATTCTATTATATTAGGTTATATCATATTATATTATATTGAGTTATATAATATTATATTATATTGGGTTATATCATATTATATTAGATTAGATTATCGTTATATTATATTAAGTTTTATTATATTAGGTTAATAAGAGGACATTCTGGTCAATCTAATACAAAGAGCACTTTCAATATTTTTATCTTAGATAATTTTTTATTAAATAACCAACAATATAATAATTATCAATGTGTATTTATTCATATATTTCCTGTCCCATCTGAAGTGATAATTGAAGTAAACTTATTTAGGTTTGTAAATTTATAAATGATAACTTCACTTAGTCGTTTTAATAATCTGTATAAATAAAATATTTATTTGCATTTAGACAAAATTAGTTCCCGAGCAAAATGAACCGTTTAATTAATCAGTTCCTTTACTCCGACATTTCTTAGATTGAAGTCTTATTTGTTCAAGCCTTTCATGTGAGGCACTCAGATAACTTTGTCTGTTAAGTGATCGTCTTACTTTAGTCCGATGAAGCCTTCTAACAGCGAAATACGTCACACGAATTTTCCACTTTGTCATTAGTTTCCCCACATGATATATATATATATATATATATATATATATATATATATATATATATATATAACAAACTATTACAGATATATATATATATATATATATATATATATATATATATATATATATATATATATTGAGTCGTGCTCAATATGAGGAATAATATATTTATTAACATATACTTAATAGCTCTGTTATGTTTTATCGAGCACTTTTTTATTAACACCAGCACTCAATGTGCGATATCTTATATATATATATATATATATATATATATATATATATATATATATATATACTTTTAAGGATTGAGTGCAGGGGCTGTGGCAACTTCCATTAACATAGGAACATAAATATTTCATCGAAGCATCAATGATAATAAATAATAAATCCTGTAAGCACTGAAGCGTTTTATATCTTGAAAGTTTAAGATGTATCAGAAAACACATCTCCCCCAACACACACGCGCACACGCGCGCACACGCACACGCTCTCTCTCACACACACACACACACACACACATATATATATATATATATATATATATATATATATATATATTTACAGGGCCGGTGCAAATGTCTCATTGCCCCAATTGAATCTATTTTCATAAGGTAGTATTCATGTAAAATACAAATTTTATAGTAACAATTATCTACAATAACGAATCCTATGACATTATTGCTGAACAATTCATGTAGAAAATTTCAAAATAAATACAATGTATCCAAAAACTAATTAGAGACATGTCAAAAGAGATCACTCCATCTGAAATAAATCAGCAATGTTTAGCGGCAGTTTTTAGCATAAACTTGAATTTTTTTTTTAAAAAGTTGAATAATTTTAACACAGTCAACATTGTGTTTTTTTTTTTGTTGTTTTTTTTTTTTTTTTTTTTTTTTTCGAGATTTAACATGAGCAAAACAAATTCATGGACTCGGACTAACAAAAACAAAAAAAAAACGTCAAAATCCGCGAAAATATTTCATCCTTTAATAACTGTTTGTGCTTCGATTAATTTGCAGCGTATATAAATACAGGTCAGAAAAAGAAATCGGTGTCCGGGATGCACCAAGCGTCTGTGTGCATTTGTTTTTCTTTGTTTGACAAACCAGTGTATGCCATAAATGTTATTAGCAAAATTTTGGTAATTAAACCTGTTTAATAGGTGTAAGGATATTTCTAGTGGCTTATATAATAAACGGCATCTTCATAGGATGTTTCTAAATGTATATATACATGTGTATATACATATGTATACGTGTGTATAAATATGTACATATACACCCTTGTGCAAATTAATTGAAACAAAACGAATAATTCCGTTATTATTTACTCTTTTTGGTATTTTTCCGACGAAACATGACCCAGTTCACATGTTAGTAGTTCGTCTGTCCATTCCACGAAGTCTTTCCTTGCAGATTGACCATAGATTTTCGATTGGATTTAACTCAGGGGACTTTCCGGGCCTGTCTATAGTACTTTGATTTGCTCACTGGTAAGGCTTGCCAGTGTGTTCGTAAAGTGTTACAATGTTATAATGTTTAATGGCCGTAGGACAACTAATCGACAGTCGAAAGAATAGTGTCTGGGTGGGGTAACAATCCGATGCAATCACGGATGTCGGAATGTTTTTCAAGGACCAACAAATTTCATCATACACCACTGAAAATAGATTCATATTACTGCACACCACTGGAAATGACCTAATCTGAGAAAAAAAATAGAAATCGATTACACCCTGTCACTCCAGTGGGTTTAAAACCGGAAAGAAACCTAAGCGGTTGTTTCAATTAATCTACACAAGGGTGTACTTATCTATTCGTCTGTATAAGTATGTATATATATATATATATATATATATATATATATATATATACATATTCCTCACGTTGGGAATATATATATATATTTATTTGCACGAGCGTCAAAGCACAGCGAAAAAGTTATATAATCGATATATTCTATATATATATATATATATATATATAGCATCTTCAATCAATTTTATCAACCGCCTAGCATCTTCAGTCAATTTTACAGCGCCGCGCCGTGACTTCACACTATCATTTCTATAACTACTTTCATGGAAGTTCTAATCAGCTATCCTCCTTTGTACCTCAACCGTATGAACTTAAGCGCAGTACTAGATTGGCAACTAGGTCTCATTGTTTTACTGTTGAACTCGCTTGATATAAGCATAAATTAATTTCTAAAAGTTTCTTTTCTCAGCCTTCTCGCCTGTGAAACACTGCTTCGATTTCTTGCTACTTGTCATCAACAATCTTCAAAAATTTAAATGCAATATATATATATATATATAAAGAGAGATATTAGAGTGTGCAGCTTATATTTTATATCATAAAGAAACAATTTATACAAAGAATTAAATAGCAATGGTAATGGGATTAATGGCGAAATCAATTCGCTAAAAAAACTTAATGAGACATTAACTTACTATCAGTTCCTTGAATCCAACAATTTCTTTGTATAAATTGTTTCTTTATTATATAAAATATAATCAGAGATAGACAGACGTATGTATACTGACAGATGATAGATAAACAGACATAGAGATAGTGATATATATTGAACAGACTGATATATATATATATATATATATAGAGAGAGAGAGAGAGAGAGAGAGAGATGGATAGGAACAGACTGAGATAGGTAGATTGAGATGAATAGATACATAATAAACAGATTGAGATAGATAGATAGATAGATAGATAGATAGATAGATAGATATGATTAGTCTGAGATAGATAGATAGATAGATAGATATGAATAGAATTAGATAGATAGATAGATAGATAGATAGATAGATAGATAGATAGATAGATAGATAGATATGAACAGAATTAGATAGATAGATAGATTAAAGAGGCAACTGATATTTATATGTACGTGATCTTGTGAATTTTCCAATGATGATCACTCCAAATTTCTGTATTCTGTTTCGGATATTCACTGTTACACTTCCTATCTCTCTTTCTCCCTCTGTTTCTAGCACTTCCTCTATTGGTTTCGATCAGTCATTCTCCATTATTGTTTGTCCTCGCCTCTCTAGTTGGAGGCATTTCATTATGCATGAGGAGGACATTAGACTCTTTGTTCCTCAGATTCACTGAAGTGAATTCACAAGTTCGCTGCTGAACGCCGAGACTGTTGTCATGGCGAAACAATAAAAAATGGCCGACTACTAATGGGACATAGAAAAAGGTTAGCAAATCAATCGATTAGTTTACAGTTTTATCACATGAGAAACTGGATATTTGACAGGAACTCATTCGCTGTCTTTGTTTAAAGAACATCGATATTTACGCATTTCACTATATAAGGTATTAATTCACCATCTACGTTATTTTTATACTAAAGAATACAGTTTTTCAACCATTTCTAAAACTTCAGACTGATTCTGCCACCCATTCACACAAGCTCGTTAGTCATGTAGCTCACTGCCTTCCCTATCTCTGTCACCATCAATATGCTCTCCGTGAGCGTTCAGTTTTCCAAGTCTTCCTTCCTCATTATGTGTCCAAGGAATTTCAGCTGTCTTTTCCTCATTCTGATTTTGTGTTCTTTCTGTCGCCATTTTCTTTAAGCCTTACTCGCGCCGTCTATGGAATTCTCAGTATCCTACAGTAGAACCACATTTCTACACCATGAAGAGATTGTTCAGCATTCCCTACCATATAAGAGGATTGATAACATTTCAATACAACACTTTTTTCTTTGATCCTAATGAAGTTCTTCCATTTCTCAGCCCCACTTTTGGAATGCTTCTTTCTTTAGCACATGTTGTGGATCGCTCTAGATCAGTACACTTGGTTTTGACTTCAGAGTTGACCTTCTTTATAGGACCCCCCAGTCTGTCCTGCTATTTACCCATAGCCTAGAGGAGAAGGGATGGGTTCATACTTTTCCCAAGGATAGTAACAAGTAAGTGAATCTTATATACTCGGCTAGAGCTCTCCTATTCCACAATCCGTTATCCATTATCCCCCCCACTGCTCCCGAACATTTACTATTCCGAAATTACACACAATTCCAACACATCTATCACCTCTATTGCGTAAATAGTTCTTCTTTTTCTTCTATGTGTCGCGTCCCTTCAGGATATGAACTATCCTGACGCTTCTATCATGAGTGACTCTTAGCGGTTTTTCTCCCTTTGATAAGACTACGCCACCCCGTTCCACTATCTATTCCCCCAATCTCATCAAGTACCTGGTTTGGCTTGCTAAGTGGTGGTCGTAAGTAATGGTCGTAATTGGTGGTCGTAAGTTGTGGTCGTAAGTTGTGGTCGTAAGTGGTTTTGTAAGCATGGTCGTAAGTTGTGGTCGTATGTTGTGGTCGTAAGTTATGGTCGTAAGTGGTTTTTGTAAATATGGTCGTAATTTGTGGTCGTAAGTTGTGGTCGTAAGTAGTGGTCGCATGTGGTGGTCGTAAGTGCTGGATGTAAGTAGTGGTCGTAAGTAGTGGTCGCAAGTTGTGGTCACAAGTTATGGTCGTAAGTGGTGGTCGTAAGTAGTGGTCGTAAGTGGTGGTCGTAAGTAGTGGTCGTAAGTGGTGGTCGCAAGTAGTGGTCGTAAGGGGTGGTCGTAAGTAGTGGTCGTAAGTGATGGTCGTAAGTGGTGGTCGCAAGTAGTGGTCGTAAGTGGTGGTCGTAAGTTCAGATCCTAAATGTTGGTCGTAAGTGGTAGTCGTAAGACAGTAATAGTAATAAGTGAACATACGACGTTGGTTATCGACGATATCAAGTAAACAATGTTGGTTGGTTTTAAGTCACGTTCGCGCTTGTTGTGTTATTTAATGGCGAATTTCTGTATGGGCCACTCAGTAGTAAATCTACAGCCAAAGTAGTTTCGTTAAACATTACGCTACGGCGAGGAGCGTTTTCTCAAACGTTTCTACCTGCCAACATTAATTTGATACCTTACCGAACAGAATGACGTTTCCTTCAGCTAGATCGTCACACTCATCAGTCTCATGATCGGATGTGGCCGTAAGATCGCTGCTCAGCTGAGAATCTCACCAGTTAATGCCTAGGTTGAAAATCGAAAAGCGCATCTTGGTAAGTAAACCTGGTTGGAGGCTACCCATCGTCAGCTGATATCCTCCAATTTGAATGCTTGTCAATATCACAAAACTCATTCAGTAAAACTCTACCTTTAGGGCCTCTCGAGACTTGTATTCACTTATATGGTAGGGAATGCTGAACAATCTCCTCATGGATGGGAAGACAATTAGAGACAAGTAGATATATGGTTCTACAGAAGGATACTGAGAATTTCATAGACGGAGCGATTAAGCAACAAGCAAAGCTTAAAGAAAATGGCGACAGAAAGAACATACTCGTAATCATGAAAAGACAGCTGAAATTCCTTGGGCATATAATGAGGAAAGAGGGATTGGCAAAGTTAACCCTCACGGAGCATATTTAGGGCAAGAGAAATAGGGGAGGGCAGTGAGCAACTTACCTATTGAGATTGTGTGAATGGATGCAGAATGGGGTACAGGGACCTTAGTGAAGGGAAAAAACTGCTAAGAGCCACACAAGACAGAAGGTTATGGAGAGCCATGATCGTCCACGTCCTGAAGGGACACGGTACATAGAAGAAGTAAGGTGCTGAGAAACGGAAGAATTTCATTAGGATCAAAGAAAAGAGTGCTGTATTGAAGTGTTAGCAATCCTCTTATATGGTAGGGAATGGATGGGAAGACAACTAGAGGGTGTAGAAATGTGGATACTGAGAATTCCATAGACGGTGCGAATAAGGCTTAAAGAAAATGGTGACAGAAAGAACACAAATTCAGAATGAGGAAAAGACAGCTGAAATTCCTTGGACGCATAATGAGGAAGGAAGGCTTGGAAAACTGAACGCTGAAGGAACGCAGAAGAGATAGAGAAATTAAGTAGGTTTGATTGCGTATGCGTAGTATGTGCCCCCTTCAGCTTACTATACTAACAGGAGGCAGTCCGAAAATGAGTTATTAACAGTGAATTAGTGTACCTCAGCGTGGTGTAATGGTTAGCAAACTTGTCTCGCTAAAACAGTTACGACTGAATAGTGAGTTCGATCCTCACTGGGTGCTTCACACTCTCGGCCGTGTCTCACATCTACGCTTCGAAAATCAATTTTAGGCACCTGGGGATGGTGCAATGGCTGGCAAACTTGTCTCGCAAGAACAATTATGACTGAGTAGCGGGTTCGATCCTCACTGATGTCCTATACTTTCAGCCATGTGCCACATCTAAGCTATGCTTAGAAAATCGCTTTGGGTACCTCGAGGGGGTGTAATTGTTAGCAAGCGTGTCTCGCTAGAACAATTACGACTTAGCAGTAAGTTCGATCTTCACTGGGTACCCCATACTTTCGGCCTTGTGCCACATCTAAGCTATGCTTGGAAAATAACTATTAACAGTGAATTGTTTTCTAGTGAAAGTATCAATGCGTGTTAATACATACGAAGCATTTTTCTGTATGCGTACTGTTGTGGTGTCCTCCTTCTAAAGAGTCTATATTGGACTCTTCCGCCTACTATAAGATTAATAGGAGAGAAGGCTTTAGGGGACAGTTGAATAGATTGGCCGCGGGTCAACCGACACACATTCACTAGTCGTGTAATACTCTTCTGGTGCACTTACTGTTTAATATATGATATATCTGTAACATGTGTTTTGTTATTTCTTTAACCATTTACTTGATCAATCCACATACATAAAAATATTTTGTGTGTATGTACGTACATGATTAATTGGCATACAGGATATTTCCCGTTTTCCCCAAACTCGCATGTCTCCGTCAACAAAGGGTAGGGCGTGATGCAGGTTGATGGAAGAGCCCATTTTTTGTCGGCCAATCAACGCGTGTGAGCATTCAATTTGCTTCTCAATGTTCTCTTTTTATATGTTTTGAAATTATATATGTTTAACTGTCGTTTTCTTTTTTTAATTTTTTTTTTTTTTTTTCATGGCCCCCGTGGTGTTTGGAGGCTTGTTTAGACATCCGAGTTAATGGGCTTTTAAAATTCCTTCACGTGAATTGCAGTAAAATTTTTGATATGTAAGAATTAAATATTACAGTGGACGGGGGAGCACCAGTGTTTTAGAAATACAAAATTGTGCATGGCCGGAAATTGGTTGGAGACAACATCACTACTACAAACCTGACATATGTCTATCTAGTTATTATTTATCAGTGAACTGTGACGATTTCTAGTTATATGAGAGGGCAGCGCACCTATCCCATGTTTATCCGCGGTTCGAATTACCATTACGGATTAATGTTCTACCATCAAGTTACAGGCATTTGGCCGCTTGCTAAACTGATACAAGTAAAAAATCGTCTGCTTTATACAGGGTATCCATAAAGTTCGTGTGCACTTTAAAAAAATTATAACTTTATTTGTATTTGCGATAGAAATAATTTGTAAAAAGGATTAGGAAGAAGTAAATCTATATTTTTTAAGGTTTTATTGAAATTTTATTTAAGTTTCCAAATGTCCGCCATCATTGGCAATACAAAGGGTAATACGATTTTGCTGTTCACGGAAAACATTTGCCAACTGATTTACAGTAATGCCTGAAATCACATTAGTTATTTTAGCTATACTTAAAACTAGGTACATTAAACTTTATAACATTTTTTACAGATTATTTCTATCGCAAATAGAAATACAGTTATAAATTTTTTAAAGTGCACACGAACTTTATGGACAAACTGTATTTTGAATTTCACTCATTAAACTAACTACAGAAGAGAATTTAAGGAGTGACTCATGGAGGAAAGGAAATATTTAATTAACTAATTGGTTCAACATATAAAACAAAATATGAATTAAAAAAAAAACAATTGAACTACATGGAAATAATTATAAATAATAATGTACTACGAAAAAGAATAACAAAAAATAATTAATAAAGAGGGGGAGTGGGAAAAGAGTGATAAAGAGAGGATGCAAGAAAACGAGTGTCAATAGAGAGAGGGGGGAGAGAAAGAGAAAAAGAAATAGAGAGAGAAAGCTAAAATGAAATCAATTGGAAGGGAGATAAAGAGAAAGATATGTTGAAAGAGATAAAGAGAAAGAAAGGGTGAAAGAGATAAAGAGAGAGGAAGGGTGAGAGAGATAAAGAGAAAGAAAGGGTGAAAGAGATAAAGAGAGAGGAAGGGTGGGAAAGAGAAAGAGATAGAAAAGGTGAAAAATATAAAGAGAAAGAAAGGGTGAAAGCGATGAAGAGAAAGAAAGGAAGAAATCGATAATAAAAACAGTATAAAGTAACAATAACTCAGCCGAGAGTAAGAAAAACATCTACAGGAGAGAATCATCAGAAAAAAATGAATAAACAGAAAGAGATAAGAATGAGGAAACAACGAAATAGTGTGGCTTTTGAGAACATGCGGGACCCAATGAGAACTGAATTCATTACTCACAACTAATAATCAGCAATCCGAGGTCGCAGACACTTACCGAGGCACCCAAGCTAGAGCTTGTTAAGAACTGTGACCACTATACTTCTATATTTAATTTGATGTGTGTAGTGTATATTACAACGATGTCAGAGATCAATGTTTGAGATTAGCGTAAAAGGGTTTTCGATGATAGGCAGCCTAACCTATTAGAAATTGGCGTAGTCAAATCTTCGATCGCCCAATGTTCAATCATTTGAACTTCTCAAAACTAGGGTTACATTAGACAATTTCTCTCTCTCTCTCTCTCTCTCTCTCTCTCTCTCTCTCACGCACACACACACACACACATACACACAATATACAGGGCTAGGCAAAAGTCCCACATCGTAGGGATTAATCGATAGGTCGAAGAGGTCCTGTTGAGTGGCCACCCATGTCACCAGACCCTACACCCTTGGATTTTTTTTCTGCAATATGCACCTAAATTAGTTGGGCTATTTGTATCGTTTAAGCTGTATCTCGGAAACATGCATACATACATACAATTAATAGAGCCTGTGTAAATGAAAGAGTGGACACTGGGGTCAACACCGAGTGTCGACAGTCAGTTTAAGGACAAATGCAAACTTCAGGTGAAGATTGCGGTTAAGCATGGAAGTATACACACTTATTTTTAGATAGATAGATAGATAGATAGATAGATAGATAGATAGATAGATAGATAGATATATATATATATATGAATATATATATATATATATATATATATATATATATATATATATATATATATATATTCCGGCAGCATCGTTTCATTGAGACATGTTTCGTTGAATAATTTAGACATGTTTTGTCAACTTATTTTCAATACGATCCTTTCATATTCACGGATAAGCTTTTTGGAGTCATTATCGAAGGACGAGTGAAAATCGAGGTGTTGATACATATTTCTATTGAAAATAATGAACAATAAAATATTTATCTTGTAACAAACAATACTCTGTTGATGACATTCTGCTATGTCGAAAGTACACGGAAAATAAACGAATTTGCCAAAATAAAGTAGCCAACCAATTCTTGTCTACTGATAGTATCCAGTTCTTAAGATCGGCGAAATGCATAAACAAAACAGAAAATAAAACTATTTTTTCCAAGAAAGAATGGTAATTCACAGCTCATAAAGAAAACGAACCTGTAAAGAGACATGGTCGCTTACGACCTTAATGGACGTCGCATTTAAAAAAAAGTTGAGATCATTAAAATGTCGGACACTCTGGATAGTGTCATGTTCCCCAATGTTTTGAAGTGACATGATACACAGATTGAGAGAGATTTATTGTTTTTGCTATTAACGTTCAATGGCCGGGCATGGTTGCAAAACTTTGACGGAAATCAATATAAACTGATAAATCATAAATTGTATTTTAACACGATGTGTAAGCGCATGTTGTATTTTAGTCTTTTCCGTAGGTATTATTGATGAAATTAGCAACGTTAATGTTCGGAGGCTATATAAAAAGAAATATGTTTTGACATACGTTCCACTAATAATTATGCGAAATATCCTTACTTTGGTAGTTACACCGAATGGAGCGTTGGTAAGAAAACGGCAGCCAGCTATTAATTTCATTTTGCGAAAGGAAGAGAAATCCAATATGATTTCGAAGCTCAAAACAGCTTTAATAAAGTTTAACCCAAAGGAAAAAAAATTAACTTTTGCAAGGGAAAAGAGAAATCGTTTCGACACCGTAAGAAAAGATACATGTTATCCGGAGAATTACGAAACGACGGCTTCAATTGATTCTTCACTCAAACAAGAAAAAGAAAGAAGAAAAAAACATCAAGAGAAACGAAAAAGAGAAAGAAAGAGAAAAGAGATCTAAAAGAAATAAAAAAGAAAAAAGGAAAAAAGAAGTAAAAAAAAAACACAAAAGAGACACTAAGCTAAAGAAGATTAAAAAAAACGAACTTTGATAACAATCAGATAAGTTGTTTCTCTTATATGTTTATACTTTGCTCAATCTTTTTTGACATACGGAAATCTACAGCAGATTATCGCTTTTATCCCGAACGCGTCCTCTTGCGTTGATTCCTAAAGGTCGAGTAATTTTTTTGCTAATATTCGATTTTTACATTATTCGGACTATTGTCCTCATCTTTGTCGCCATATCTATTACAACGTTTCGGCCGTTGTATGCTCCGGCCTTCTTCAGGTGGTTTGAACGTCGAACTGAATCCTTTATTTCGCTCACTGGTGTAGACTGTCCTAGTTCCACGTGCCATGTCTAATGGATGTCAGTTATCAGTTATCTCTCGTTAATTCCCCTCTCCAAGTTCTCTCCAGCACCTTAACCAGGTATTGAACTCACACTCTTTGGGCCCTGTTACTGGATCTAACCAACGCCTCAAGGACACATGGCACAGTGGATAAAGGCGTTGGTTAGATCCGCCCTTTAACAGCTATTTTTCTGCTACACTACCCTCCCCCCCAATCCTACCCGTTTAGTCATAAAAATTGTTTCTTTTTCTCCTAAAACGGTTGCCACCAATGTCTATAGGTCCCAGTCTCTTTACCCATAGCCAGAGAGAGGGAGAGAGAGAGAGAAAAGATGCTTCATACAATTCCCAAGGGTGTTTGCACATTAGTGTATGGAACGAACTCGATTGGAATTCGAACACAGCTTTCCGATTCCTCAATCCGAGCCTGTCTTGTCAGTGTTAATGATCGTACCGAAAACGTTGTCTTAATGTGATGTCGCCATAAGCTAGGGTTCATTTTAAGTTCATTTCAACTTAAAAAAGTGAAAGAAAGAAAAAAGTGAACGTCATCGAATCAATGCTTCAATCAAAACACGTAAAACAGGCGATTGAGAAAATCAATATTTTAAAATTAAAATAAAACATTTTTTGTAGTCAATATATATATATATATATATATATATATATATATATATAACTGCTAGTTATTTCTCATTTCTGAGCACACTGGTTTACCGGTGCGATTAGCAAATCCATTTTACAGACAATCTCGGCGAAACATCCAGAAACCTTGAAAAAAGGCTATATGAACATCGCAGAGATCTGATGTATAACAACATTTTATATGCATTGTTAGTTCACGCGAATATATATATATATATATATATATATATATATATATATATATATATATATATATATATATATATATATATATATATATATATATATATATAAGTGATAGATTTTTTTTTTGAGGAATTAGAATAATGATTATAATAATTCATCGAGTCTGGAAGAATCCTCAACAGAATGCAGAAAACACGTTTGCGTTGTCTCAAATCGCTTGCATTGAGGAATCGCAGAGCCGATTTCGAATTCCAGTCGAATCCATTACATTCACTTACGTGCTAATACCCTTGGAAAAGGTGTGAATCCTCTACTTCTCCCTCCAGCTATGTGTAAAATAGCAGGACAGACTGGGTTCTATAGCCTTTGATGGCAACTGGTCTAGGAGAAGGACAACTCTGAATTCAAAACCTGCGGAGGGTCGTTTGGGACCTTGTGGAACTTAGTGCACCAGGTCTCTGAATTCGGCTCTTCAAAAAGTGTGGCTGTCCCTGAACGAAACCTTCACCACTATAATCAAATCTCTTGTGCTGTTGTCGGGCTGTCGGTTTCCTGGGAACTGATCTGCTTGACCCTCATACGTCGAATTCGACGGGAGAGTCGACTATATATATATATATATATATATATATATATATATATATATATATATATATATATATATATATATATATATATACTACTAGTAATACTCAGTTGAGAAAGAATTCGGATCGCACAACTTGTAAGTATATCAAAATAAATTGGTACCCAGGGAAAAAAAATTGGAAAAAAAAAAGAACTAGAAACATCCGAACAGGGCGAAATAAATCCTCCAGTTCTTTAAGTTTTTAGTCCAAAGAAAAAAACCAAGCGTGTAATAGGATTTATATATATATATATATATATATATATATATATATATATATATATATATATATATATAATGTGTGTGTGTGTGTGTATTTAGGCAGCAGATTCTCTTTTAAACTAGTGGTCCGGTGCCCTGCTATATATTTAGGAATTCTTGATAAGATCCAAAGAAGAATCTGCAATATTATTGGTCCTGATCTGGCGTTTCGGCTCCAGTCACTTTACCACCTTCTTAAGGTTACCACTCTATGTATTTTTCTATAATGTTTCTGTTCCTAATTCTTCCACACCCTGTAACACCCTGTAAAACTTTGTGTTTTAGTGGCATTACTGTTGTACTGGGGGTGATTCCAATGAAAAAATGTTGTTTAAGACAACAGACGTTTCGTTTCGATTAATTTTATTGATCGACTTACGAATAAACCTTCTCGGATAAGGCGGAAATTCTATAAAAATTGCCCAAAGTTAATTTTGGTAGAAATATTGTCCAAGCTGTCGACTTTCTTATCGGATATCGACTCAGAGATACGCGATTACTCGCTCTTCAAGACTCAGACTGGTGTCTTAAATTCTTAGTCGACCTCCGATAATCATTGTTTATTTAATATATATATATATATATATATATATATATATATATATATATATATATATATATATATATATATATATATATCTACTTCGTGTATTGAGCATTTTACGTAGTTGCTTTTACTCGTTTGGAGGTGTTTTTTTTTTCTTTAGACTATGAACATGAACTTTGGAAGATTGTTTGCGTTTCAATTTCATGTTCTTAGTTCTTTCTTTTTTTTTCCTCATTTTTCTTTGGGTTCTGGTTTGTTCTACTACAAGCCAAAATACCTAAAGTTTTTCCAAGCGAGTACCACTATATATATATATATATATATATATATATATATATATATATACTCGATCACCCATAAACCCGTTGGGTTTCTTTTAAAAGCACTTCATGATACAATATTATAGATTTTATTATTATTTAGACCTTTTAGTTTGTATATAAAGACGGTAAAACAAATATTATTCTTCCACTGATCTCCATTGTTAACATATTAGCTGAAAATTAGGAGTAATAACTTTAAACATTTTCAAATTAATAAGTATATTTTTATTAATTATTAGTTAATAAGAAATTTTTCCGGGTCGAAAACAAAAGGAATGGCGCCCAAAACGTCTCAATGCAAATATGTCTTCCAGCATTGCCGACAAAGTTAACCTGGCCGTTAGTCTCGAAAACGACCTCCAATCTGTGGTTGACTGAGGCAGGAAATGGCTTGTGAATTTTATTGCATCCAAAACGAAGCTGCTATCGTTTACTCACCATCGAGAAAATCCTCTGCCTCCTATCCTACATATTGCTCAACTCCAGGAGATCGTCTCTTTCTGGGATCACGTTCTGCACTGACCTGAGCCGGAACAACTACATTGAATCAATAGCTACATCTACCACAAGGACATTTGGTTCTCTGTGTCGCGCCAGAGGGTTTTTTTCTCGTCTGAGTCCATCCTTCACATCTACAAATCTATTATTCGCCCATGCATGGAATACTGTTGCCATGTATGGTCTGGTGCCCCCCGCTGTCCATCTCGAGGTTCTTAACAAAATCCAAAGACTGATATGCAATGTGATCGGTCCTGACTTGGCAACTCGACTCGAATCACTTTCTTAGAGACGTAAACAAAGAGACTGTTTGCTTGGGCTTGCGGTGCCGTGTCTCTAGCATCTTTGGTGTTATAACTTTTATTATCATATTTTCCCCTGTCTATTCATTCATGTCATCCGCGACAGACTTTCTTCTCATAATTTGTTTCCCCGTTTACAGTTCTGACGAGAGGGACGAAACCGGTCGACTTGTGTTTGTACTTTTGTTTTAAAATTAATCATGGCCTATAGTAAAAAAAAATTCTTGCCTTTAATGCCATAATACGTTTTTGTACCGTTATAAACATATTTATTTTATTTATATATATATATATATATATATATATATATATATATATATATATATATATATATATATATATATATATTTCTATATATATATATATTATGCGCGGTACTAATTGGGAAGCGCTCACTATCACTATTCAGTCGTATGAATATGAGTTTGTAACCCTGAGTTTCACGCTTTTGCGCTCATCAGACAAACTGATTTTTTTTTTAAAATTTGAGTCTAGTTATGTTACTTTGTGTTTGATTATTTTTAGTGGGGGGGGTATTCTCCTCGGTGACAGTTTTAGGATGACATTCAAACGCACGCAGACATATATACATATGGGTGTTTTGTTTATATATGTGTGTATTTGTGTGAACTATAATGCCTACACCCGTATGTATGTATGTATGTATGTATGTATGTATGTATGTATATCTGCGTGCGTTTGAGTGTCAACCTAAAACAGACACAGAGTAAAATGCCCACCCACGCCACCATTAAACATAATCAAACACAAACTAACGTAAATAGACTCAAATTTTAAAAAATAAATCAGTTTTTTGATGATTGAAACATCGTGAAACCCAGGCTTACGATTGGATATATATATATATACGTGTGTGTGTGTGTGTGTGTGTGTGTGTGTGTGTGTGTGTGTCGGTGTGGAATTCTACTTGACTTAACGGAGAGCCCGAGGATCTCTTTGTTTACTGGCCATGAATTAAATTCTAACACGTACCGACATTTTTTTAAAACCTCTCTCAATTAAACATTTTCTCCTTCGGATATAATTAGACACTTCCGCAATAATATTTTCTTCCTCTTTACGGGCCGTGTCCCCCAAGGACGTAGACTATCATAGCTCTCCACGACTTCCTGTCCTTTGTGACTCTTAATACATATTGTCTCTCTGTTTATTTCTCCTAAACCCTGTTCTACCATAAAGATCACTAAGTATGTTATATTTTCCTCTGTCCCTCTTGCCTCCAATCTCTCCTGTGAGCATCAAATTTTCCAAGTCCTCTTTCCGCATTATGTGCTTAATAAATTTCAACTGTTACTTCCTGATATTTATTATGTTTTTTTTTTATTCCATTTTCTATAAAATTTCGTTGTTGCTCATATGTTCGGTCCATGTCATCCTCAGTATCCTTCTGTAGAACCACATTTCTGAAATCTTTGACGTGATTGTCCAGCTGTCACCATTATATAGGACAGATATCACGTAACAGTTTAGTACTCTTTTCTTTATTTCTAAAGACCTTTTTCTATATCTTAGTACTATTTCTTAGTGCTTAGTATTTCTAAGTACTATTCTTAGCTTTTTGAATGCATCATTGGCTATCTCAATACGACATTGGATTGAGTTTGAAATACGTCTAGGTAAGTACTTAAAAGCATTTAGAATTCCTTTAATAAAATACGCGTTTAAATTGCGTTTTTTTTTTTTTTTTTTTTTTTTTTTTTCTGTATTTCATAAATATTTGCCGCGATGGACTAATAAATGATATTAATAGAGATGGTTACCCAGAGGTCATATGAAGCAAGAAACGATGTTGCAATAACAATTGTACCCGAATAAAATATGCTAACCTTTTTGAAATATCTGATGAGGTAACTTGACGAAAAATTACTTTGGCCTAAATATACTTGGCGCCAAAAAGCAAAAAAAAAATGATAAGAAGATATGAAAAGAACGGTACGGAAATACACGCCGAGAAACGTACAAAAAAAAGACAATAATTTCGTTATTCAAACAATTATTTTCTTGGAGATGTAAATAATTTTCGTGGAATATGGACATTCAAAATGATCAACTTGACGACAACAGGGGCTTTTTATTGCAAAATAAGACATGAAAGGTACAAACTAAGATGCAGAAATGTTTTAAACATCCTAAAATAACGAGTAAATTGTTTTTTCTCCAACTAAGCAAGAATAAATCCATTTTTTATTTTTCATTTCTTAACATGATTACCGTAAATTGCAGCATCCAATTCGAGTTTTCAAGCCTCAAAACATTTCCAAAATTAGGGGTCGATTTATACGACAGGTTTAAAATGCAAAACTTTACCACCGAGTTGAGTTGTAAACAAGTGGAACAACATTCCTAAAAATTATTGTACACCACTTACCGCACGTCCAACAGGCTACCAAAAATATATCGCACGAAGACTTATATTTGGTGAACATATTCGGCATATTAACACAGAAATTAATATAAAATAGTAACACAAAGTCTGTATTCTATAACGCTACAAAACACATAGCGTCAAACTGCTGACGGGATCACCGTTTAACTGAGGCGGCCATTCACACAACTAGATATGGTATGCTAGTAAATAGAGTAATATTTTATAGGAGTTGATGTTGACTTCAGGAGACCTGAGGAATTTGAAACGTTCGCTACGTTATACAAATACAATATAGAGCACCTTTCGGTGTGTATTGTAAATTGATTGCATGATTACCGTAAATTGCAGCAACCAACTCGAGTTTTCAAGCCTCAAAACATTTCCAAAATTAGGGGTCGACTAATACGGCGGGTTTAAAATGCAAACCTTTACCACCGAGTTGAGTTGTAAACAAGTGGAACAACTTTGCTAAAATTTATTGTACACCACTTACCGTACCTCCAGTAGGCTACCAAAATATATAGCACGAAGACTAATATTTGCTTAACATATTCGGCATATTAACACAGAAATTAATATAAAATAATAAAACAGTAACACGAAATCAGTATTCTATTGACGCAGCAGCAGACATTGTTTGTTTACATCAGTGATGTACATGTTGGGTGGGTAATACTGTGTTATAATAACATCCGATATTTAACAGTCCTGTCATTAACATACCTGCATATGAGGTTTAATCTATGGCATTAATATTTTATAGATGTTGACTTTAATGTGTTTATTAGTAGCCCTGACGAAATATACTGATACAATATACGGTACCTACCGGCCGTTTGCTGCACAGCGTATGTAGAAAGATAGGGTTAGTGTCTTAAAATACAGCTAAGTGTTGTTACCTTATGTAGATTTGGCACAGATTATCGTATACTGTAGCCCAACTTCATTTACCGTTGGCTTAAGTTTTGGGCCACTGACGAGTATAAAATGAAAACATTTACCATCGATTTGAGTTGTAAACAAGTGAGACATCATTCCTAAGAATTACTGTACATCACTTACCGTACGTCCAACAGGATACCAAAAATATATCGCACGAAAACTTATGCTTGGTGAACATATTCGGCATATTAACACAAAGATTAACATAAAATAATAAAATAGTAACACAAATTCTGTATTCTATAACGCTATATCACACATCGCGTCCAACTGCTGATACACTAAGTGTAATCACTGACCGACATTCACACAACTAGATATGGTATGCGTAATATCAGCGTTGTTTCATGATTGTAATGACAGTAATATTTTATAGTTGATGTTGACTTCAGTGTGTTTATCAGAAGATCTGACGAATTTTAAATGTTCGCTACGTTATACAAATACAATATAGAGTACCTTTCGGTGTGTATTGTACGTTGTTTGCTATACAACGCAAACAGAAAGATATTACGGTTAATGTCTCAATATCCAGGTAAGTGGTGTGACCATATCGAGTTCTGGTACAGGTTATTTTATACTGTAGCCTAACTTCACTTACCGGTTTTGGACCACTCTCAGCCTATCGTATGTTCGATGGTAGGTATAAGCATGATAAATCAGAAATTTGGGCTAAATATCTTGATATCTACTTGAACGCTGCAATTTATGATAGATAGATATATAGATAGATAGATAGAAATGAACAGACTAACTTAGAGCGCCCGACACGAAAATACATACATGAGCAAACCCAGATAGATAGACAGGTATAGAAAGAAAGAAAGAAAGAAAGAAAGAAAGAAAGAAAGAAAGAAAGAAAGAAATAGACATACATAAGCAAACCCAGACATGAAAGGATAGATAGATAGATAGATAGATAGATAGATAGATAGATAGATAGATAGATAATGAACAGACTGAGACAAACAAACATAGATAGATAGATAGATAGATAGATAGATAGATAGATAGATATGAACACATCAAATTAGAGTGTCATGTAGAAAATAGGCGTACATGAGAAAAATTAGAAAGAAAGAAACAGGCATAGATAGATAGATAGATAGATAGATAGATAGATAGTGATGTGACCCTATGTAGTTTGGGCACATATTGTCGTATTCATTTATAGCGGGCCTATGTTTTTGACCCGCGGTAGCCTACCGTATGTTTGTGGATCAACCTGTACAGTAAGTTTAGCCCAAATCAGAATTTTGAGCTAAAGCTCTTGAGGTCGATTGTACGCCAGATCGCAATTTACAGTAGTTCCAGAGCAAATCATTAAACTTATTTTCTCATTCACTATATCTCAATCTTTCAAACTTACTTTCTCTATGCTTACCACCCACTGAGAGAAGGTGTAATATCGTGTGTGTACACAGAAGACCTTTGAACTCAAAGAAGTGTGACTCATATCTTTCATTCTGGATATAAGAATATTTTTTAATTTCTCTTATTTCTTTACCTGAATAGAGTCTGTTGTTTTAGGGTTGTTTTTTTTTTTTTCAAGAACAAATATATTTAAGAGAAAGTTTTCCTTGTTGTTGTGTTTGAAGATATATTACTCCGGGCAACGCCGAGTAGGACTACCAGTGATTACATAGAGTAAAAGATACATCATTGGCAAATCAATTGATGGCTGCCGAGACAAGTAATTTCTACCACAAATCGAGAGCATCCAGCTGAGATAGATAGATAGATAATGATAGATAGATATAGATAGATGATAGATAGATAGATAGATTCATTGAATTAAAAGACTCGGATAGATAGATAGATAGATAGATAGATAGATGATAGATAGATAGATAGATGAATAGATTCATTGAATTAAAAGACTCGGATAGATAGATAGATGAATAGATAGATAGATAGATAGATTTGAATAGACTTAAGCAGATAGATAGAGAGATAAAGAGAGAGATTTGAATAGACATCGATAAATAGATAGATACAGAGAGAGATTTGAATAGACTTAGATAGATAGATAGATAGATAGATAGATTTGAATAGATTTCGATAGCAAGTATGTTCAGACTGTGATAGGTAGTTATATAGATAGATTGATAGATTTGAATAGACTTCGATAGATACATTTGAATAGACTTAAGGAGATAGATAGATAGATAGATAGATAGATAGATAGATAGATAGATAGCATTTCGGTGCTACTCGTCAGCATTCGTCAGAATAGCGATAATTTTTAATGTTCCTCTCTTTATATGGCTTTTTTTATCCTCTATTCCTACATGAATATATATATATATATAATATATATATATATATATATATATATATATATATATATATATATGAATATATATATATATATATATATATATATATATATATATATATATATATATATATATATAATTTCCTTTGAACTGACGTTTTTCCTTATTGTTCTCTGTGTTCTTAAAAGAAATCGAAGAATTTTCTTCATCGGAAATAGTATCTTGATTTATATGCAGTTTTTATGCTTGTGTGATTTTTACTTTTCAAAGATATTCTTCATAGAATGAAAAAAATCATTCCAAATAGACTCAGATAAAAAAATAAAGCGAACTATTTTTATTGGGGATTGTGCGCCGTGCCACACCGCTACACGTTTTGAAAAATATACTTTTAGGATCATGCTACCAGAATTTCAGAATAGCCAATCAACACATTGGATATCAATCCGATAGTGAATTTTGGGAATTTTTCTGAAAGGAAATCTTGCGCCAAAGAAAGTCTTCTGCACTGATCATCTGAATGAAAAAAATGCAGACCATTTGGATACATGAAATCAGATGTAGCATAAAAGACTTCGAGAGTCGAGTCAGTGATCAAAAACAAATATATTCCTTGAAAATACTAAAAGTTCAACTTGGGTTAATGCGTGCTTTTTGTCTAGTACACTACTGATCAAAAATTTAAGACCACTTGAAAAATTTTTTAAAAAGACTGTTTTTCATGGATACATTATAAACTTTTTCTTACTTAAGGTTACTAATTCTATAATCTGAAAAGTTATGTAGACAAAAAGTTATAATCCGATCAATTTATTCAGAAATAGACAATTTTATAAAATGAGGTGTTTTACACTTGATCAAAAGTATAAGGCCAGGGTGCATAAATTGTTAGATTTAGGGTAATTCCAATGTTTTTAGTTCAGTTAGTGATTAGCAATCACTGCGTAAATATGTCACCATGCCTAAAGCAAAAAAACTTACTGAAGTTGAGCGTGCTCGAATTCTAGATTTCCATAATCAAGGTTTGTCACAGCAGGCGATCGCAGCTAAGGTAAATCGCAATAAAACTGTGACTTGCAATTTTCTAAAGGAAATTATGGAAACGCAAAAATCTATTGGTAGGCCCAAAAAAATTTCTCCAGCATTGAGTAGGAGAATAAGACGGGTTGATGTGAAAGCCAGTCGACTTTCTTCTAGTCAAATTAAGGCAGCCACAGATGCAGTCCAGTAACCATCAGACGATACTTACAACAAAAAGGCATGGTAAATAAAAAGCGCAAACAAATTCCTCGGTTGCTTCCACGTCACAAAATGAACTGTTTATGGTTTGGTCGTGAATACAAAACATGGAACATTGAGAAGTGGAAGAAAGTCCTGTTTTCTGATGAGAAGAAATTCAATCTAGATGGTTTTGATGGCTTCCAACGATATTGGCATAACAAAAACATGCCTCCTGAAATTTTCTTCACACGTCATAGTGGTGGAGGGTCCCTAATGGTATGGGGTGCCTTTTCTTTTCCAGGTGGTGCAGGGTTGTCAGACAGCGGCTGGTTATGTTAGCATGCTACAAAAAGCATCGTTGGTGATGGAGGGCCATCGTTTGTGCGAGAATGGATGGTTATTCCAACAGGATAATGCTGCAATCCACGCTGCATGGCGGACCTTGACCTTTCTACAAGAAAATGGGGTCCATCTCTTGAGACATCCTGCATTCTCACCGGACTTGAACCCAATTGAAAATGTTTGGGGATGGATGGCATGAGATGTTTATCCAAATGGCAAACAATATTCAATAAAAAATGAACTTCGTGAAGCTGTAGCAATATTCCTCGCAGCTTAATGGAAACACTAATTTCTAGCAAGCCCCAAAGAATTTTTGAAGTCATCAAAACTAGTGGAGGTAGAAGTCATTATTAAATTTGGTTGTTGAATGTTTTCGTACACTTTTCGTACAATTTCGTAGAATTTTTGTCTCTGGTCTTATAATTTTGATCAAGTATAAAACCCCTCATTTTATAAAAATGTCAATTTCTCAATAAAATGTTCGGATTATAACTTTTTGTCTACATAACCTTTTAGATTATAAAATTAACCTTAAGTAAGAAATGTTTAAAATTTTTCCATGAAAAACAGTCTTTTTAAAAAAACTTTCAAGACGAAAGGAACAGACTAAACCCCCGGCGCTGCCCAAAAAATAAACCCAACTCTCCGAAAGGCGCGAATTCGCTCTTTTATGAGCATCTCCAAGTAGTGGCTAAACTGAAACGACTCAAAATACATACGCACGAGAATACCCTATATATGAAAATAAACTGATCAGTTACCTTTTCTTTTCTTTTCTTGCTAGAATATAAAAAAATTCCTCACTAAAGCAGACGATGATAAACGTTTGCGATAGAAAAATCATTAAAATAGCAGACAACACGTTTGCTAATAGTTTGACACTTGGATACATTTTTTAAAATTTAAAATAAAATACAGCGTATCGACAAAATAAGTGTACATACGAAAAATTAATAAAGTAAGTTCTTTTATAATTTCCAATATATATATATATATATATATATATAGTCACCCACACACAAAATGTTTCGCTATATCATAGATCATCAGTGTGAGTAGAAATTCGATTGTTTTAACCCGGGATCGAAAGAATTTTTGATCAGGAGTGTATATTTTGCATTCGATAAAAGAATGCAGTATATTTAAATTAAACAACATTTTTTCGTCATTTTATGCGTGGACTTACGACAATTTTCAATGCACTATACATCTATATATATGATGGCCATCTCCTAGATTAGACGGTTATGACTATTGCTGAAAATTTAAATCTATGGTTACGTTTTCGAATTCAGAATTTCATTCTCCTATTCTCTCAACCACAGCTGAAAAGCCCAGTCTTCTCTGTTATTTTATTCGTAGCTAAGGAAGGAGAAAAGGATGTTTGAACAAAAATTAATGTGATCAAAACACACGAATTTGAATTCAGAATTGTCCTTTTCCTAAACTGATTGCCAATCACAACTAGAGAGAACTATTTAATCCACATCTGAGAGGTTAAGAGATGGATTCATGCCTTTGCCAAACATTAATGAAGTGAACTCAAAACATACCCTTAATCTAGACTGTTTGTAAACCACAGTTAGCGAGAACAGTATGCACTATTTAACCCATAGCTGTGGGATACGAGATAGTTACATATCTTTGCCAATGGTGTTTGTGTAAAACTTAGTGCTGTGAACTAATGACACTAATTTTAATTCAGAGTTGTCTTTCTCCTAGATTGGTTGCCAACTAAGCTAGAGAGTCTTGCTTGCTCTACCATTTTACCCGGTGAGCGCTAAGAGGGAATAAGAAATGAATTCCCAGGTGTGTTTGTGCAAAGTTGGACGCAAGGAACTCAATATACCATTTTTAATTCACAGTTGTCATTCCCCTCTACTGTTTGCCAACTTTGACTAGTAAGCCCAGTATTTCTTACTGTTTAACACATAGCTAGGGAGGTTGGTTTATATATTTCCCACAGTGAATATAATGAACACGATTTTATGCACACACACACACACACACACACACACACACACACACCCGCAACATAGACATTTCCGACAACAAAAGCACAAAATTCATAATCCTACCCTCCGACCCTCTATCAACAAGATGTAAAAACAAACTAGTTATCCTCAACACTAAAAGCTTTACAACCACCTTCAAGACTATCAGTGATGTAGTTAACCAGAAAAA